CGGCCATTATCTTAGTGTTTTTTTCTTTGTGACTACTACAATATTTTTGACAGGCTGGACATTGTTCTACTTTGTTCTTTTTAAAAGTTGCTATTTTCTCGTGTTGGGTTTTGTATGCGACTGATTTTTTCTGATAATTAGTTCCTTTTTGTTTGAGGTCTTGAATTTGCTCTTGAACCGCCACTTCACTGATGGTCAAATCAACTGGCGAGTTAGCAATTTTTTTCATTATTTCTTTATTCTTTGACCCACTGATTATTTTGAGATCTTTCAATATTTCGGTTTTGCTTTCGTGCGACAGAGTAGATTTTATTATTCTTTCTTCCATTATTTCTTTTTCTTCGCGCACCTCTTTTTCGGCTTTGGTTTTATGTTTTTCCAACCTTTCTAGTTCTAACCAATGCTTTTTACAATAAATTGTCTTTTTTAATTTACTATCGGAACTAATTTGAGTCTTGGTTGCAGTTAAAACCTTTTTCTCACAATTATTATCTTTCTTAATTAAAAACAAGAGAAGATTTTCCTTATTTTCTTCTTTTTTAATCTTTAATAAATCTACTACTTGTTTACATTTTATTTGTTTTCTAATTTGTTTAATAAATAGTTCGGAGTTTTGACAAGTGTCGCATTCTTTGATTTCTTTTTGAATTTGTCTGGCTTTTTCACATGTTATTCCACATGGATGGCTTTCTTTGTGCTTTTTCAATTCACTCTGGTGAGAAGAACAATAAATCGGTTTACCTTCTCCGTTTTTTCTTCTCATTTGACGAAAAGCAGAAATTTTTAAATTCTTTACTCTTCCATTTTTATCCTCTCGTTTAATAATAATTTCTACATCTTCAGTTGGTTCGGGTTCAAGATCCCTAATGAGAACAGTTTTAACAATTTCATCACCATCACTTATTCACCTTTCTTGACAATTATTACACTCTCTAATTGCTTTTTGGAGTTCTCGTAATTGCGGACAACTAATGCCACAAGCGTGAGAAATAGCCTTATGCTCAACTAACTGATTTTGGTGAAGAGAACATTTTTCAATAGTTTTCTGATAAAGATTAATTAATTTCTTCCCCGACTTGCTAATATTTTGTAATTTTTCTGTCTCAACTAATTTTATTTTTCCTTTTTTAGTAATGAGAAGTAAAAATTTTTCTGTAAATTCTTCTGCGATTGGTAAGATAGTGGTAAAGAACTCTTGGGCTTGCAGGGTGGGTTTTAATTCTCCTTTTCTAATTCTCACAAAATATTCTTCATCTAAGTTAGTGGTCTTATTTATTGCATTAAATTTGTAAAAGGTAATTCGGTATAATTTACCGTAGTTTGAAAAGCATCATAAGTCGTTCCTGCGATCAAGTTTGACAATGGCTCAGTTGTCTCCGCGAGTTTTTAACTGTTTTCCTTGACTTGGAATATTGGTTGGTTCCACTGCTGAAAGGTGATGAACTGTTAAATAGTTGTTAACTTTATTCTCTTTTTTGCTCTCGAAACGACTAAGTAAGACAATTCTTTCTTCGTGGGGGATTAATTGTCTCTCTTCAATTGAGTGTAAGTAGGAAGTAACCTCCGTTCGTCTTTTATCATGTGAGTAATTATTTTTTAGTTCTTGTAGTTCTTGTATCAATATCTCTTTTCTTTTTTCTAACTGATTAATTACTAGTTGCTGCTCTTCATTGTCCTTTTGTAGTTTTTCAACATCATTTTGTAATTTTTCTCTTCGTTCGGGAGTAAACTGACGAAAACTAGCCGGGGTGTCTAAAATTCGATTGATAGCATCTTTTTCTGAGTTGATAGTTTTTTCAGGTGAGCCAAGGGATTTTTCCTGAATAGTTTCTATTTTCTCTTGTAGAGCTTTTAATTCGACACTAAAACGGCTCTTTAATTTTTCTTCTCTTTCTTCATCAGAAGAAGAGTTACGAGCAATTTCAGCAATTTCTCGATAGTTGTCGATAATGAAGCGGCGAGTTTCCAAATTGATTAGTTCTTTTTGATTTTTTTTGTAAGTAAATTGAGCTTTTTTTTGAATGTTGTCTAAACGCTGAGCGATGAATCCTTCTAGAACTTCTTTTAAAGAAAAAATTTTGGGCTGGTCATCAATTAAAGCCCGCATTTTTACCGAAAAGGAATTTTGTAATTTGGTAGACTTATATAACTGGTTGAGAATGACCTCTCCATCATAGTTGGGATCAAATTTTAAGTGAATATTAACTGGTTCTTCTCAACTGGAATAGTCGGCGACACTACGTAAACCCTCAATTGAAGAGAGACAATTAATCCCCCACGAAGAAAGAATTGTCTTACTTAGTCGTTTCGAGA